AAACGAGTCAAAGAGATCAGGTTTCAGAGTTAAGCACTTGAACCTAAAAGGAAGTCTGCATATTTAAAAATTGGTTTAATTTGCCTGGCCAGGCATGGCTCAGCAGTTAGCATTGACCTATGATCCAGGAGATTGTGGTTTGATTCCCAGTCAGGGCACATGCCTGGGCTGTGGGCTTGATCTCTAGTGGGGGGCATGCAGGAGGCAGCCGATCAATGACTCTCTCTCATCACTGATGTTTCTATCTCTCTCTCCCTCTCCCTTCCTCTCTCTGAAATCAATATATATTTAAAAAATACAAATAAAAGAAATAAAGATATATATATTTTTAAATTGGTTTAAGTAAAATTTTTATTTTTAACTGCATGTCTTAAAGGCATAACTTAGATTACACCTGAGAATTTTGAGAGCCTGGTCCTACAGTGTGATCGCTGTGCGGGATAATGAAGGCAGCTGGCCTCTGTGCCCAGAATTCTAGCATAGCCAACTGATGCTTCCCGTCACTCTGAACATCTACTTCTTGCACTCCTCCACCACAGTATTAGAAAGTGGACACTATTTAAATCAAAGGCTACTGCAAATTTAAACAAACAAAACAAGAGGGGGAAAAGTATAACTGCGAATTAAAAAACGGAGAGAGGAAAAAAATACATTTATATAAGCAGAGGAGACATTTGGAGGAAATAATTTTTTTTAATGGAGAAAATACGTAAGGAATACTTAGGGGAAAGCTCTGATTATAGATTAACTTTACTATCTAGCTTCACCACCTAGTAACAAAAACTGAAAGGCTTTTGTCAATGGCTTGAAAAACTGAAAAGATCACCTCACCACTCTGGCACTACGTGTTGATGAGGTCAAAAGTCACCCTTAAGGTCTGGGTGAGAGGAGAGATTTCTTTCTTTCTTTTGGGGGAACTTTACCCCTAATTTATACCCAGTTGGGCTATTTTCTGAAAAATAGGAATTGAATAGAACAGTATAGGCTGCATGTTGTCATGTAGAGTAGTCCCCCGCTTACCCTTGGTTTCAGTTACTCATGGTCAACCACAGTCTGAAAATATTAAATGGCAAGTGATTCCTTGAAACAAGTGACCACATGCACATAACCTATTACAGTATATTGTTATAACTGTTCTATTTTATGTTATTACTGTTTTTCTCTTACTGTGCCTAATTTATAAATTAAACTGTACCATAGGTACGAAAATAAAAGGAAAAACATAGTATATATAGGGTTTGGTACTATCTGTGGTTTTAGATATCCACTGGGATCTTGGAATGCATTCCCCATGAATAAGGGGGGGAGGGACACACTACAGTATTCACTGCGCATTTGTGTTGTTTTATTAAATTGCCTTTGTCCAACTGGCTTGTGCTATGACTTGACCAGTAAGGAATATTGATTTTCAACACTTTCCACATGCTGGTCTTCCTACCTGGGAAGCCCTCTCTCTGTCCCTTAAGCCTCAGCTGGAGCAGCATCAAGCCTTGTGTGAGCACTACTGACCTGGGGTTAGCCACCTTCCACCCCAGAGAACTTGGCCTTTTTCTTTCAAAGCACTCCTGATACTCCTCCTGAGAGCTATTTAAGGGCTGGAGGACTCTGTTGCATCCCCTGTGCCAAACATGTGGTAGACACTCAGTAAATGTCAGTTAAATGGAAGGGAGAGAGGTTTATGGAGCCCTGGACAAAACGACAAGTGCAATAAATAATGCACAATCAGTCTCTTCACTCCAGGGCCTGTCTTCTTGCAGACTTCATGATCTGTAATTTCTAACTGATTTTATATCAAGTGTGCTCAAATGCTTGGCCCTAAAGCTGGCAGTTTCATTAGGAGACCTGTGTCATGGCCAAGAGTGGCCCAAATATTCTGATAATTCCACGTGACTATTTGGGAAACACCCACAATATCCAACTAGGCAGCACTGGATTTTCCACTGAGCAAAGCAAAAGTCAGACAATGGCGGCTAGTGTTTAATTGTTTACAGCTGAACAACTATTTCCTCACTTCACCAAGCAAATAAGCCCGAGACAAAGAATAGGCCCTTAATCATATTTCAAGTGAGGGAAAATTTTAAGGTCATAGTGCCCAGATAATGGCAAATACGTCACAGCAAATGCAGTCAGCAGCTCTCACAGACCTCAACACGCAGTTTCTTTCTGTTACAAAGTGCAAAACTTTTGAAGTACCTGAGGATGGCTCACAGTACCTCCTTAAAATAAGTTAAGGAGGAATATTTATCTGCATTTCAGACAAATAACTACTACATAGAATAAACTGTGCAGGCTTGTTCAGAAAATAACATAGAGTAAGCCTTTTCCCTGAATTCTAAGGCAGATTTCATTTCCTTTGACTCCCCCAGAAATCAGTGTTTCTTTTATCCTTACATTAAGGAAGGGAAAAGGGAAAAGCAAAATCTCAAAAAGATGACGTATAACTCTTGCTTGATCACTTTTGATCAACACTATAAGACGAGTAGGCCCTATCTTCAATTTACTTACTTTTCTTAAGCATTACTTTTAAAACCTTTTTGTCACTCCCTGGCTGGTGGTTCAGTTGGTTGGAGCACTGCCCCACACACCAGAAGGTTGAGGGTTTAATTCCTAGTCGGGGTGCATAAGGGGCAACTGATGTATGTTTCTCTCTCACATCGTTGTTTTCTCTCTCTCTCTCAAATCAGTAAAAGACATCCTCAAGTGAGGATTAAAAAAACCAAAACACTATAAACAAAAACTTTTTGTCATGTAAATGTTTACATATTCATAAAAGTAGAGACCACCAGGCCATGTACCCATTACCCAGGTTCAACAATTAACAACACATACATGATCATTTTTACCTATAAGCCAGCGCACTTCTCCCACATTCCCCATCTCCAAATTTAAAAATTTGTTCCATAGCCCTGGCTAGGGTAGCTCAGTTGGTTAGAGTGTTGTCCCTGATATGCCAAGGTGACAGGTTTGATTCCTGTTCAGGGCACATACATGAATCAACCAATGAATATGTAAATAAGTGAAACATCAAATCAATGTTTCTCTCTCTCAAATCAATTTTTAAAAATTTAAAAATTTGCTCCACTTTAGCTGTTACTTGATCCCAAAGCATCTGCTTCAGGTTATTCAGTTAGGAATCAGTACCCTCCCCCTCCCACTTAAAAAAATCTTTTTTTAAAATTTATTGATTTTAGAGGGAGAAAGGAAGGAGGAGGAGGGAGAGAGACAAACACCCATCGGCTGCCTCCTGCACGCCCCCTACTGGGGACGGAGCCTGAAACTGGGCATGTGCCCTGACCTGGAAGGGAACAGACCTCTCTGTCCATGGGATCATGCTCAACTAAGTGAGCCACACTGGCCAGGGCAATATCCAACAAATTCTGCAGATTGTAACTTATCTATCTCTTCGATTTAGCTCCTCCTTCCAACAGCCACTGCTTTAGATCCTATTTCTATAACTTCTTACCTGGACTTCTGTAGCCCTCTCAAATATTTCCTTGAAACTGCAAGAGACAGCATTCTAAGACATCTCCTGATCATGTCATTCCCTTGCTTAAAAACTCTTGAGAGACCCTTTACAACTTTAGAACAAAGTTCAGGCACCCCAATTTGGCTCTAGGTCTTTTCACCACCTCGCTCTTGCCTACCTTTAGTGCCATCTCTCCTAAAACCCTATGCCCAACATCTATTTCCCAGTCACACTGCTGATATTTTGTACACACTGTTCCTCTGCCTGACTTCATCTAGTAACTCCTACATACCTTTAAAACCCACTCGAACCTGACCTCCTCCTTTATACTCATCCACAATCACTGACCGTAGGTGATAAACCATAATCACCTACCTAAGCTACTCCTGAATGCCTGACCCATAGAAATTGGGAGATAATGTGTTTGAATTTGTGGATGAAATAAAGTAATAAATCATAAATTCCTATCTGGGTAGGTCATGGTGGGTAGTCATACCCCAGTCCTGTAATTTCTTTGGTAAAAGGTTTTTAAGCAAGCCCTGTCCATTGTTTTTGTGCCTGTAGGTTAACACACCTTTGAAATGCCTCCTTTCAAACCTGTCCTTCGAAATTGTGACCACCCTCAAGAGAGCACACAATCTTTTTTTTTTAAATCCTCACCTGAGGATATTTTTTCCACTGCTTTTTTAGACAGTGGAAGGGAGACAGAGAGAGAGATATGTCGATTGGTTGCTTCCCACATGCACCCCGACTGGGGTTGGGGATTGAGCCTGCAACTGAGGTACATGCCCTTGGCCGGAATCGAACCCAGGGTCCTTCAGTCCTGGGGCAGATGCTCTAACCACTGAGCAAACCTGGCTAGGGCTAGAGCACACAATCTTAACTGTCCTGCAATTGGATCCCCGCCTTGCTTTCTCCCACCTCCACATAATCTTCCCTATTTTCACTCCTTAATCTCAAATGCATAAAAACTGCAAAACTGTTATTCTCCAGAGCATCTGAAATCTTGCTCTCTAGCAATTACCATCACTTTTGGATCAAATAAAGTCATAAAAATTTTCTATAGGTTTGGACATTCTTACATCGACAAACACATTAAACTTTGTGTTGATTTGTTACACAGCAGGAGGTAACTACTACAAGTAAGTAGAATGAAGGCAGACACCTGAGGGAAAAAACCAACACAGATTTAAACAGGGCAAAGAGAAGGTGTGTGGGAGACCAGGGGACCAATAAGACCCCACCTGCACCACATTACCAAATCCTGATCTCATGTAAGCCCTTAGCCCCATCTACTCCTGGTCCCCTGGACTTTCCTGTATTAAAGCCAGTGGAATTCCCTCCATAGGTTACACTAGTTTTAATGGTTTCTTGACACTTGAAGTCAAAAGCACTCCAATCAATGCAACACAGACCCAGAAAACTGGTAAAATGCCCTAATAAATGTCCACTTGACACCAGGGTCATTTCCTTTATTTCATCTTTCCCTGCTCTGCATTTTCTCTTTAGCATGATCCATATTTTGCTTATTTACCTTATTTGCTATTTGTATCCTCCTGTAGAACTGAAGTTCCTTGAGGATGGGAGTTGTTTTGTTGAGTGCTATATCTTCACACCTCAAACTATGCCTGGCAATCAGCAGACGCTCAGTATTTGTTGTTTAAGCTGCTGGATGCTCACTGAGAAATTGCAACGAAATAAGTGGCGCAATCTGGAAGTCATTAGAAAGACATTAGCAGCCCAGTACTTGGAGATGAGCACAAAACACGAGCTCCTCAGCTGAAATCACAGGGTTTCTTCAAGAACAGCAAGTAACTGCAAGTGCCTACCCTGATAACTTATCATTCTGTTCAAAGGCGTACCCTCTCCTTGTTAGCTCTCGGCCAATCAGTTCACGGAGGAGCTGGGAACTCTTTCACAGGCCGATAATGTTCTTTTTCCCCTTTTAAACTCTGCTTGGCTTTTATGTTCAGTAAGACAGGTTATACACGAGCGCTCTTCCCTAGAGACGAGTAAACATCAGCCGAGCTTTGGGTTACTCTGCCAGTTTAACAATGTCCTGACCCTTGTGAGAGACTTCTCATGGACATTCCGTTTTCGTATTACATGGTTTTAGTTAATCTCAAGCAACCCAGGCAGCACCCTCAAGAAGATAAATAGCGATGGCCAGTGTAACCTATCGTGCAGGCAACACGGGGCGGGAAGTTTCCTACCGGGAGTTAAAATTCTGTCTTTGGGGGAAAGAGGCTCAAACTCCACGCAACTTAAGTCCGAGCAGCGGAAACCGGGTCTGCTGACCCTCTGGGGCTGGAAGAGCCGGCGGGACTGGCTGGCCCCAGCTTCTGCTGCAGCCTTTCCACCCACATCGCTTCACCGACGCGCGTGGACTCGAATACCACAGGGAGGTGGGCGCGAACATGGGCGGGGTCCCCCAGGGCTGGGGTCACCGAGGCTGAGATCCCGGGTACAGAAATGAAGAGGTGGGCCCCGAGTAGTGCGCAAGCGAAGAGGAAGAGGAGGCCGCCTTTACTCACCTCACCTGCTGCCGCGCGCTCCCGGCCGCACCACCCGCACCGCCCGCACCGCCTTCGCCCTCCTCAGCCCCGCCCCCGAGCGTCACTTCCCCCGGGCAGGGGCCGGGCGGAAGCGCGCCCGCACAGCCGGGTCTCGCGACTACCCGCGGTTGCTAAGCAACTACTGGTTTGGACCACGCCCCCCACGGGGCTGACGCCTGAGCTACGCCCCGCGCTAGGCTGGGCAGGGGGATCCCCTCCCCCACCTTGCGGAAAAGCCAGTCTGGAGACGCGCGTGGAGCAGGCGTGCGCGTGGGGGTCCAGCGCCGTGTGAGCGTGAGGTCGTCCCCACCCAGAGGTGGCCTTGTCAGTCCGATGGGTTTGAAGCAGGATCTGCTTGTGGCTTTATTTTCATTCCCTGATTATCAACGCAACTTTCCACATGTTTATTGGCCAGGACAGTTTCTCGCCTCTCGTCAAATTTCCTGTTGAATGGCTTGTCTTTTTCTTATTGTTTCTTAGCGTTCTTTTTTGGAGATTAAACCTTTGTCAGTGATTTGTGTTGCAAGCATCTGTTTGTGTCATGCCTTTTCACTTTGTGGTGCCTTTTAATGAACAGAAGTTTTTATTTTTGAAAATATGTTTCTGTTGCCCGGCCGGGCATGGCTCAGTGGTTGAGCACCGACTTATGATCCAGGAGATCACGGTTCAGTTCTGGGTCAGGGCACATGCCCAGGTTGAGGGCTTGATCCCCAGTGGGGGGAGTGTGGGAGGCAGCCGATCAATGACTCTGTCATCATTGATGTTTCTATCTCTTTTTCTCCCTCTCCCTTTCTCTCTCTGAAATCAATAAAGATATATTTTAAAATATGTTTTTATTGATTTTAGAGAGAGAGGAAAGGAGAGGGACAGTTGAGATATAAACATCGATGAGAAAGACAGTGATAGGTTGCCTTCTGCACTTCCCTTCGTGGGGATCAAGCCAGCAACCTGGGCATGTGCCCAGATGGGAGTCCAACTCTGGATCTCTGGTTTATGGGTGATGCTCAACCACTGAACCACACATGCCAGGCAGAAGTTTTCATATTAATATAAAAAAATATCTTTTATGCTATTTTTTGTGTGTCTTGTTTACGAAACCCTGCCCTACCCCAAGTTACTCTTTCACATTTTTTTCTAATGGTTTTAAAGATTTGATTTTAAATTGAAGTCCTCAATTCAGTCAATAAGAACAATGATGAAATATCGGTACTGCTTCCCATCCTTAATTCCAAAGCCTGTATATTTTAGCTATTGGGGACTGTGGTCAGTAGTCTCCAAAAATGGCTATTGGAAATTCTTCACATTTTTGCACACACAAGCTGTTCCTGACAAAATGTAGCATTTGTTTCCCCTGCCCTTGAATCTGCATTGGCCTTTTGACCTGCTTTGACTGATAGATAATGGTAGGAATAAAGTTCTGGGGTTTGAGCCTAGGCCTTAAAAGGACCGACAGTTTCCACTCCCTCCCTGGGGGTAGCCAGCTGCCATACTATGAAGCAGTTTGGGCTAGACTCCTGAAAGACATGATCTTATGTACAGAGAGAGGCCACACGGAGGACCACAGAGGGGCCAGGCATGTCAGTGAAGCCTTCTTGGACCTTCACTCAGCCCGGTTTCATACAAGTAATTTTGTGAACCCAGTCAACACCATCCAGAGCTGAAGAGCCCAGGGCCCAGCTAAGCCCTGGCTGAATTCCACAGAATCATGACAAATTGTTTTTGTTTTACACTACTGAGTTTCTAAGTGGCATGCTACACAGACATATTTGACCTGCTTTACCATGAAATGGATCTCTTGATATGAGGCAGTGTGGTGCAGGATTCCATGTCAGTGACTCAGAATTTTGAAAGCCTTTGGATGCGTCAGGAAAAGCCAATACACATCTGGATATGTTGACAATTTCAAAAGGATGAATCACTGTCCCCCTAGAGTATAAAGAACCCAATGTAATCAACCTATTCGAGTAGTGGGCTGCTCTACTCAAGGGAGAGAACCACATCAATAATTCATTGTCAGTCTCTCTTTTAATTTTTTATTTTGTTAATTCTCACCTGAGGATATTTTTTTCCATCGAGTTTTATTTTATTTATTTAATTTTTTAAAATTTTTGTTTAAAATATTACAGATGTCCCTTCTTCTCCCCAATAACCCATTCCACCCCGTCCCATCCCCCTCCCCAGTCCCTCTCCCCACCATTGTCCATGTCCTTGGGTTGTGCATATATGCATATAAATTCTTTGCTTACTCTCTCCCCCTCCACCCACCCACCCTCCTCCATCTCTGACTTTCGTCAATCTGATCTATGCTTCCATGTCATTGAATCTATTCTGTTCATCTGTTTATTAAGTCTTCTAGATTCTACATATAAGTGAGATCATGTGATGTTTTTCTTTCTCTGCCTGGCTTATTTCCATTGATTTTTAGAGAGTAGAAGGGAGGGAGAAGGGGAAAGAGAAACAGATCGATTGTTTGCCTCCCAGATGTGCTCCAACCCAGGTGTGTGCCCTTGACTGGGAATCGAACCCACAACCCTTTGGTGCGTGGGCCAATGCTCTAACCACTGAGCCACTCCGGCCAGGGCCATTGTCAGTCTCTTGATGTGGCTAGGGCTAGAAGAGCCTTGGTGGATGGCAGACTATGAGCTCATAGGACAATCACAAAGCAATAATCATGAACCTAACATTAATTCCATCCTTGATTTAACATTCACAAGTCATATTGATGCCACTGTAATAACCTGGTTATTATCTAACAAGAAAGGAGTAAAGGGGAGACCAGTTAAGAATACACCATTTAGCCCGGCCGGGAGTGGCTCAGCGGTTGAGCGTTGACCTGGGATCCAGGNTAAGGGCTACTCCTGTCTCTTATACACATCTAGATGTGTATAAGAGACAGGTTCAATTCCCAGTCAGGGCACATGCCCGGGTTGCGGGCTGCAGCCAATCAATGACTCTCTCATCACTGATGTTTCTGTCTCTCTCTCTCCTTCTCCTTTCCTCTCTCTAAAAATCAATAAAGATATATTTTTAAAAAAAAGAAAAAGAAAAGAATACACCATTTATACACCTTTGCCAAGAAAGCTTGTATTAACACTTTCCAGGTCTGTTCCCTGCTGATTGCTGGGGGAAGGGACGGGACAAAGGCAGTATTTATTTATTTATTTATTTATTTTAATCCTCATGGAGGATGTTTTTTCCTTTGCTTTTCAGAGAGAGTGGAAGGGAGAAACATCGATTGGCTGCCTCCTGTACTCGCCCCAACTGGAGCCGGGATCAAGCCTGCAGCTGAGGTACATGCCCTTGGCCAGAGTCAAACCCGGGACTTTTCAGTCTGCAGGTGATGCTCTAGCCCAACTGGCTAGGACTCAAGTCTGTTATTAATTTTGACAATTCCCCCTTTTGACTGAGATCTTTGAAGGCATGGCTGATTAACAGTCAGGTCTTCCAAAATCAGCAGCCTTTTCTCCCTTGATACCAAGAAGGACCTCTTCTGGGTCAAATGTCAGGAGGGAAAATGCATGGTCCAAATTGCTGTGTCCAGGTTCAAAAAGCAATAGGTGCAGAGTTTAACAGAAAAAAAAAAAAAGAGCAAAGTTAAAAACAAACTTAGTGTACATGATGGTTTTAAAACAGGAGCTCAGATCTGATAGCAGCAAACTAAGGAGTTATTACAACAGAGTTGAGCCCTGGCAGGTGTGTCTCTGGTTAGAGCGTTGGTCTGCTCACGGAAAGGTTTTGGGTTTGATTTCTGGTCAAGGGCACGAGCCTGTGTTAGGGGCAGAAATATTAATCATGTTCTGTTAACCATGATTTTAGCTATAGTTACAAGAAATATTAATCCTGTTCTGTTAACCATAATTGTGTTCTGATTAGAGAAAGCACATTCTAACCTGGATGAGAGTTATATGCCCCGGGACATTAGGAATTGGATCCATTCTTCTTAACTGCTTATCATCATGGAAAGATTTAACAACCTTGTTGCTGAAGGGGTCCTGGGGGTGCCCCACCCTCTTACAAACCTCAGCCCCCATTTCCTGTAACCTGTAAACCATTATACCCATTCTTGTTCCTTTTTGCCCACTTTCCCATGTAATCTTTGTCTTTACACCCAATATAAGCAGTTGGCTTATTTGGGGGGGGGGGGG